GGATCATAACATCTCTCCAGGTTGTCTGTAATGTAAAAATGATTTTGTGTGCCTTAGTAACTGCAAATTATTTCTCAGTGTCTCAAATGATGATCTCAAAGATCCTTAACATAAGAATCTGTGACATAGCTTACTAAGCTTTAAAAATGTTAATGAGTGATTACGTCAGTAAGTGTTTTAATATAGCTGATATTTCAGAGCAAGCGGCCTCTTTGTGGGGTGGCGCTAACCTGCTGATGAGACATCAACGAGTTCTGGGTAAGATAAACCTATTACGTCTGCACAAAGACTGCTCTGGTACCATTAGTGTTGCCTAGGAACAGCTGATACTAATATAGTATAGTGAGAAGCTTTGCCAGGGATGAGACGGCATCCTGGCCGAGCTCTCTGCTCATATTGTTTTAGAGGGGCCTTTACAATTCTGATAGAGATGTACTACTGGGCAATTTTCTCTGCCCTATTATGCAACAGCATACATACCTATGTTACATATTAACATAATTATTAACATGGTGTATTTATTGATCTCTTACACTTATTTAACAAATACCTGCACAGTTCTGGCAGTACAAAACATCTCAAGCTACCACTGCTCTTAAAGGAGAACTATGGGGTCAGGGCTTTTCCCCATAGTTCTCCTTAGGGTAACGGGAGGACACAAACCAGCGTCCTCCAGTCACCCTAAGCTCAGTATACCACGAACTACACCTCGCAGCATACTGAGAGGCCGCAGGCGGAGCGGATCCCGACATCGATGTCGAGATCCGCCCAGCTGCGTGAGTGACAGCTGGCTCTTCCTATCTAGAGGCAGAGCCAGCTGTACCCGCCCCCTCCCCTGTCCGTTCCCGCCAGTCAGCGCTGGTGGATCGGAGCGGGGAGGGGGGAAAACCAGTATGTGTTCGCTCACTTCCAGATCTACTGAGCCGACCTGTGACAGTCTCATTGTCACAGGTCGGCTAGAACTATGAGGTGAGTGAAAAGCACTCACCTCATAGTTCTCCTTTAAGCTTTATATGCCTACCCTTACATGTGTGTTCCAAGAACTTATGTGCTGGATTATGGTAACTTTTTCTAAACAAATAGCAAACAAGTTTGGATCATAAGATATGTCAAGGGTCATATGTAAGCTTTGGAACAATACCCTACACAAATAGTAAAGTCAATAAAGGTTAAAGCAATTAGAGAACAATCTAAGTCAAGGACAAAACTGAGATTGTTAAAACATATAAGCTCCGATTCATCAACCTGAAAAACGGAACATGATGTTCTGGCAGGTAAAAGGAAAATAGACTGGTTTTCATTTGTTCATCTTTTTAAATGCTTAATTGTTTGTCAACATATTTTTATTTACATTTTTTATTACATCTATCAAATTTTAGAAATAGGCTTTTAATACAGAGTGCTTCCATGGCACTGCAATTTGTCAGAAATGTTTGAGATTTCTAATAAACCAGCTCAATAGTAGTAGAGGTAGGGCCCCTCCCTACCTCTACTACTGTTGAGTACCTCCTATTGTGTACCTCCTCTAAATCATTCAACTGTGTTTTTGTTCTGAATACAATACACTCAATTTATGAAGCTTTACACAAAGATCCTGACTGATAAGTGACTTAGTAGAAATGCTATAAAGCTTACCCAATTAAATCACCTGTTAGCTGTACATTGTAAAAAATAAATATGTATATGTAATATTTGATATTTACAGTACTAAAAAGAAATATTTAAAAAAGAATATTTTAAGACCTGAACATAATCAAATATGTACAGAAACACAACATATTCCCTTTAAAAAAAGGCATTGTTTTCCTGTAAGAGAGTCTTTTACTTTGCCTGTAGATGTACGCAATGCATTCCTAAAACATTAAAGATAAACTACCCACATTCTTCAAAAGGCAAATTCGAATGCCAACTGATTTAGGAGGGTGGCAGGCTCTTTAGGCATAATCCACCTGCCAGCTCCATAGAGGACTTGGTATACCATTAATTGGAATGTTCTGCTTGCATAGCTTTCCAACCTGTTGGATTGATTGGTTCCTTAGACAGCAGCCAGTGGATGGGGTCAGTGGGCTCAACAAAAATGAGATAATTAAATGATCCAGCCACTGAATAACTTTATACCGCTCTTACCTTACATGCATTACTATTGGCCAATGAAGGAGCTTATTATAGTGGTGTCCAATAAAAATGTTAGGGTGGGAGCTATTAAAATAACCCCTCTGCTGTTGGCTACTTCAGGTTTTCCAAGGTCAGCTTATTGGCTTGCTAAGAAACAGAGGCTTTATAAGGTTAAAGTAAACCTGAGAGAAGTACAGAGGCCACTATAGCTTACCTTCTTCTGAAAATGTTTGTTTGCTGGTTGTTATACTAACCCTCTAGCCTCCATACTTCCTAAATCACTGATCCTGAACTAGTAAACAGATCAGGAAAGGTAGAAGTCACAACTCCTGATCCACATATTGGTTTTTGGTCAGTGACTCAGCTAGTGCAGACGTTAGTGGGTCAGTATAACAGCCAGGCAATTAGCATTTCCAAAAGTAGAGGCTATCAGTGGCAGCCTGCCATCTCCTGACAGGTTTTCTTTAACACTTGTCTTCTTCACAAGCCACTCTGAGATATGCTGGCTGCTAGGTAAAGTTTAACAAAATGGATTCTCACAATGCTGTTGTTATAGCAATTAACCATCTTTGAGAAAACGAAGACTGACTCCCTGGGAAAGTTCTTGAAGGCATAAAATCTATGCATTTCCCCTTGTTGTATCCACCTTTAGTCATTATCTTTAATATGTTGCTTTTTATGAACTTCCTTTGTATTTCATTTTCTTTTTAATCTATTTACGAACTATAATATTTAAGGGATACATACTGTATTATGAGCAGTAAATGAACACAACAGTCAGTATGCTCTCATTAGCACAGTGGGCAGACTAGTAAAAGCTGTTTTCTGATTGATTATTGCTATTCACTGTGTTTTGTACACTGTTTCTGCTTGAGTAAATAACATGAAATACTTTTTTTTAACCACCCCTCTCCACTGTGTATTAGGAATCCTCTTGTGCCTAAACTGCCTAAACTTAGAGGTAGCATTATTGCCCTCTGCCTTCTTCACTCTTTAAAAGGCTAGTACTTGCAGGGATTGGCCAACACATGAGACTCCTTTTGCCCTACCACAGTGCAGTGGTCCTAATCGCTAGGCCTGAATGCTTTCACGTTAGGGGGGGGGGGGGGGGGGGGCGGGGGGGGGAAAAGTGTGGGGGGGGGGGGGGGGGGCGCTTGAGGAATTGTAGGATGATCTTTGCACAAAATATACACAGGAAAGTGCACATTATTTCTATTAGTGAATTAAGAGAGCAGAAGGTGCCTAGAACATAATTGAAACTGTGGTGATACATTTCATTTAATATAAGAGACTACAATTGAAAATCACTTGATGTGCTGCCATTCTTTTCTTTAGGTTACAACATAATGGTGTGACAGAATGCAGCAATTGTTTGTTAACACTGACAGTACGCATGAACATCAAAAGGGATGTTAGGAGTTCACACCTAGGCCCTAATGTCCAACCCAGAATACTGTTTTATATGTATTAGCCATTACACATGAATATTCAGTGAAGCATTATCTTTGCTATGTGCTTTGCTATGCAGCATGTGGAGTCCTTTGTAACTGATGCTACCACCCTCATTGTCCTGAATGCCACCCGCCCCCCCAAGCAGGCTCACCCTACCTCTCAGAAGAGCATTGGCATGGGAAGTTCAAACTCAAGTTATAGACTGTAGCACCATGGGTTTCTTTGTATAAATCCAGGCTTATGTAATCAATGTAAAATGGCTGACGTATCAAAGACTGATACTGAAACTGCCTAGTAACCTGTTCTAACCAAAAAGTTCTACGGGAAGAAGAAAAACTCTTGCTATATGATCAATATACACAAATGTACTGGCACTGAGTTTTTGCTTGACCCGCAGAAAAAAACCTATAAACATAAGGATAATGTAAATATGTACTATAACAGTACTATGTCTTTAAATATACAATACAAACCAGAAACAGAAGGTGAATCCAGTTGCAGAAATATTCAGATTTGCCTAAAAGTGGTCTAAACATGGCTGCACAAATCAATATCTGGTGATTGTTATATAACAATGAGAACAAAGATGTGCATTTTAAGGAGTTCTTCTAATCAATTGCAAGGACAGAGATGTAAATCCATTGAAACAATACACTCTGCATACTGAGTGTTTAATTTCTGCTTAAGATTTAGGTTACTTTTATACACAAAGCTCTGCCTAGAAATGTATCACAGATGACACCTTAGATTAAGGTAAAGAATTAGTCATTAGTCAAACTACAAGTTTTATGTGACAAATTCATTTGAATTGGATTTGAATTAACTATTGTGTACACTGTACAGTAATTCACTTTTTCCACTGGTAATAATAAGACATTCATGCTTGGCCTTTTACACAATAGGGCCTCAAATACCATTGTGCCATTTCCTAGGACCTGGACTATCTAATCGGCATTGTGCTGGGACTCTGAAAAATATATTTGTCTCAATCGTACCCAGTAGAAAAGATGTCATTTCAAATAAACTAGGTCCCAAAAATTGATCATGGTGCTGACTGCTTACCCACAGGTTTCAGTGAAATGAAATTATCTTATCAACAAAAGTAGCTCAAAGTGATTGGTTGTTTTCATTTGCAGTAACCCAAAGTATTCCAATCCAATTTCAGGTACCTCTAGACAGATATTTTGTCTATTGGCAATCTGTTCTGTCTCTCTTTAATACGCCTATATCAAGCGCAGATATGTAAATCAATTGAAACAGGTTTCTGTGAAATTAGATTACCATTAGGTTTCTGTGAAATCAGATTTTCTGTCTCATTTACTAAGGAAGCTCAAAGTGCAATGGATGTGCAGTAACCCATAGCAACCCAACTGATTTCAGGTGTCTCAAGACAGATTGGTTAAAGATTTTGGCTGCTGGCAACACCACTTTACCTGCTCTGGTCCCAGTTGGCAGCAAATAATACCAAGATCTTCCTGCCAAAGTGGTCAAGATTGGAGAGCACGCCTGGAAATCCATCCTTAAGTCCTTGTTTTATTCCTGGATCAGTGGCCTTGAAGTTCTTGAACATATCCAGGTTTTGCTGGCGGTACTCAAAGTATTGTGCCAACAAGCGAAAAGCTTCAAAGTGGTTAAACTTCCTGGCCCTCAAAAACCTCAAAATGAAGGCATCATCTGTCCTGAGGAAACCAATATCCGGCCGTGTGATAACCATGTCCCTTACCTCCTGGATATCCTGGTGCAATGTATCAGGGTTCTCATTAAGCTCCAGTCGAGCTTTCTCTAGAGTCTCAGGGGACAGGCCAGCCTGCAAGTGAGTCATGTTGACTGGGCAAGCACAATTTGCCTTATATACCTGAGAGGCCCAGATTGCAAACTATACTCAGTGGCAGTCAAACTGACGGTATATACCAACAGTCAGGATGCAGTAGCACCTTGTACAGTCTAATCAACACTAAGAATTTTATATTTGTCTACAATATTATATATTCATAACAAAACACAAGCCCCTTTTGCTGTATCCTCTGGCCCTACAAGACATGAAGATGGCCCCACGCAGCAGGGGTTAGCACTAATAATCAGGTGAACAGAGTACACTGAGCATTTTACCCATGATTTTACCACCTATATCCAAGATTACTAACACCAATCCAGGAGTACATCATTCTTGATTGTATCTGAATAAACAGCTCCTTATATCCACAGCCTGTAAGATGTTTAACAGCTGGGGTGTTTTAATGGTCTCCCAAGTCCCATGCTACTGCTGTAATCCTGGTCACAAATCCACATGCATACATCCCAAGTTCAGGGGAAAATCCTGATTAATGCGGCAACCTGCAGTAGCTGTTCCAGTAAGAGATGACCTTTATCCATCAGCAGAGAGAGACAGCATCAGCGTAGGAAAAAAAAAGAGATCAAGGAGGAGGCTGAGTCCCCTCTACATGTGGCTACTGCAGCTGATTGTGGAGCGACGATGACAGCACAGCACCTTCCCCGGTGATAAGGCAAAGGGAATTGGCCACCAATTCTCCTACTGTTATATTCACATACAGCATAAGATGATATGATGCCTGATCATCACATTTCAGCCAGAAAGTGGACAGCCTGTCTCTGCAGCTTGTGTTCTTGCCGTGCAGTGACTGTGGGTTGGACGGCAATGAGATGAGAGGCTGCCCGTCTGTTTTGTGCATTCAATCACTTCTGGTCCTGATGATGCTGGAGGGTGGGTGACGTCAGCCTTGGCTGAGCCAATACTATGCAGCTAGTATCTCTGCTTATAGCTGATGCTCATAGCCTTAGCACGGACTCCAGCTGCCTGCTTCCTCGAACAGCTCAGCAGTATGCAGCATCCTCCCTGTTCTTATCTCCCCCTCAGCATGCCACTCAATATTCTTTGTTAGCACCCTCTGTTATTTTGCACCTGCTGCCCTTTCTTTTGTGGTCCTTCTGCACAGACCCTCCTGCAATGGTCCAAGCCCTCCCCCCCGAAGGTTAGCTACATGTACAAATAGGAAGAACTATTTCCTCCCCCTGTCTCTGGAGTCTTTGTTAGTTGAACGGTTGTTTTATAAGTAAAATCAATGGAGCTGATACTTTGTGTGTTCTGAGATGTACTCAGTGAGTAAATCACAAAAGGAAACACTTTATCTTTAGACCCCATCCACACAGGGCAATAAAAAGAGTGCAGATGCGTTCGGAGCTGAACGTACCTAAAAGCATGTAATGGGTCTAGGTGCATTCCGTCTAGCTCAGTTAACAAAATATGAATTTTCTGCATCCTGGGACCATTTAGCAAGGTTTTATGCAGGTAAACGCATGTAAACGTACCTGAATGCGGCTAAACACAGGAACATCTAAACACAGGATAAAGTGATCTAGAAAGCATGAAAGTGTTTTTTACTGCCCATATAGATTCTCCTGTGTTTAACACAGGAGGTCTATGTGCATGGGGTCATGTAGAGATTATAGTAAAGCTCAACACACATGTTACAATGTGGTTGTACAATCTCCTTTTGATCTACCAACAACTATGTAATTTAAGTGCCTGCCTGATTGGATACACATTGTTTGGGAAGATTGGGTAGGACATCATTTTACATAGTTTTGCTAAATCTAAAGTTGATTGTACAATGCTTGTACGGCCAGATTGTAACGTGTATGGTGATCGTTAATAAGAATAAGATGATTTTTGTAAAGCTCACCACACATGTTACAATCTGGTTGTATGGTTTCCTTTAGATTTACCAACAACTATATAGTGCATGTGTCTGCCAGATTGGATACAAATTGGATAGATTAGGTAGTCCCCCATATTATAGTTTTATTAAATTTCAAGGCTGTTTGATTAGATTATAATGTGTGTGGTGACCTTAAAGGATAAATAAAGTCTCACTTTTTGCATATATCTACTGCTAGGAAGCAGTAGATACACTATATTGCCAAAAGTATTTGGACGCCTGCCTTTACACACCTAAATACAGTAATTTGGAGGGGTGTCCCAATACTTTTGGCAATATAATGTATATGTAAAATATAAAAAAGTTAACAAAGGGGTTAAAGCTTACCTGTGTATCCGCCACGCTCCCGTCCAAAGCTCTGAAGATTTTCGGGCAGCCACAAAGGATCATGGATCGGGCACATGCACAGTAGAGAGATCTTCGGACGGGAGAAGAGGAGAGACACAAGGTAAGGGAATGGATCAGAGACCGGCACCAGCACTGAAGGGACTCCTAAAAACTACTGGAAAGATGATCGGATCAAGAGGCATCACTTAAGGTAAGTCCTTACACCAGCATTAGCTGCCCTCGGCAGCTTTGTGAATAGACCCCATAGTATAGTTATTTATTATATGTTATATAATTATACTGCTGACTATAATTCCATCAATATACAGTCAATTTTAGATCTGCAAAAACCATGTAATATGAGGACCTACCTAATCTTTCCAATCAATTAGTATCCAATAAGGCAGGCCCTTGCTCTGCATAGTTGTTAGTAGATCTAAAGGAGATTATACAATCAGATTGTAACATGTGTGGTCAGCTTAAAGTGGGCCTTCAACATCCCCACCCACCTCCTGTCATTATGCTCCTGCCCACCCACTCTAACAATTGAATATTTTTTTATTAAATACTTTTTTAGGGAACCCTCCCCACACTTGCTGGATTCTCACCTAGGCAAGCATAATGTATTTGATGCCAGTAGCCTCCTGGTATACCCACAAATCACGCATTTCGGGAAGCCTTGGTGTACTATACGCATATTGGAAGTAATAGGTTCTCACTAAGATGACGTTAGGGTTCTATTAGACCCCTAATATCACCTATGCACTCCAGTGTAGCAAGCTCAGATCATACTTGATAAGCTTCATCTCCGCCCACAGTGGCCAGGGAATGACAGCACTGAAGTTCATTCACCTGAGGGACTGGATGTCTGCTGAGCTCCACCTGCTCTCCCCATTAACATCCACCATACCCAGAGGCATGTTCAGTTGTTAAGCCGCTGCAAGTGCAGAGTTAGCAAACTGCCGCTGAACGCTTTGCTGCAAGTCATCGCTTAGCACTGCTAACTTAGCACTCACAGTGGAAGTAAATGTGGATGCAGAGCGCTGAGTGTGACGGAGAAGGTGGGGACAGAGCACCAGCAGCCATTTTAACTGTGGGCACAACTGGCAGTGCTGGGGAAAGGTGCCTGAAACCCAATGGAGGAAATCAATTCAGTGTGGGAACCCACAATTTAATGTTTTGGTGGATGAGCACACTAAATATTTGTAGAAAAATTGTAATTATTAGTCAAAAATATTATCCACCGCCATTTTGCCAAGCACTCTGCAGCCGAAGTGTTCAGTGAAGCTGCTGCATCGATCTGAAGTGCTGCGGAACAGCTACTCAGGGCTTCGCTATGGAACTGAACACGCCTCTGGATAAATGGCAGGAAGGGGGTGGGGCTGTGTGGGGGGAAGGGGGCACATTCTGCAGAACTCCTGGAATTGGTCCAGGACCCTGGTCCCGCTTTGTATATGATGACATTGGAGAGGTCATGACTGGTCAAACATTGAGGGGTAGCAGCATTGTAGGACTGATTGTATGGCAGGGAGGAATTCTGCAGAAGTGAGGAATAAGGTATTACAGTAATAAAATAAAGTAATGCAGCTTATTCCTTGCCCTCTTGGCTAAATACGTATTTGACTCTTGCAGGGCGAAGGAGCCAATGCAAAGTGAATTTTTACAACTGAGTGGAGTTCAACTTTAAGGGTTCTCTAGCAGAGATAGCTTGTTACACATGTCCCGGATAGTTTCCTAGAGTAATTTACAAAGTATCATATACTAAAAAAAATAATTATAGATGTTTTTATTTATACAGCAACATGCAGAAAATCAGTCTAATCTCCCAGTATTGAAGATTCTCAAATATTTCTAGAATTCCTAAAATTTTTGGGTGGTAAATTACCAATATGTCTGTAGAGCCAAAGGAAGGCATTTCGCTGAAATGAGACTCCAAATAGAGCGTTTAGCTTCCACCCCGGATATAGTTAAAATATATGCAGGTAAAAACTGAATTGGACATACCATTCTCCAGGTCCTTGTGGGTTAGTCTGCTTTGTTCCAGTGTTCTTCTCTTAGGATCTTTTTACATAGAGCATTGATGTTGCTGGATTCGGGGCCGTATAACTGATATGCTACTGGTCAGTAAATAAAGCCATTCTTGCCTGACTTGGAAAGCTTTAGGGTACCCAAGATCGTAACTTACAGACCCTCCCAGTCAGATATCATAAGTAACAGGATCATTGGTGAACAATATATAGGCACAAATGTCCATCCTGAAGCTATGACATTGCCATACCTGGTACCTGCATTTGTCATGCCCTGGGTAGATCAGTGTGGGAATTATGCCTTTAGTTGGAGTGCCCCTAGTCTAAATTTAGGGGTCTATTTATAAATAGTTTGCAGGCCCTTCCCTGCCAATATCTGTGAATGTCCGTTTTTGGGCAAATGATGCCAAAATCAAATGTTCTGAATAGATTTTTTTCCTAGTTCAAATGTATTGTGTGTTGTACTAATACAATATGACCACTAGATGGAGCTGAGGAATATAGGGAATAGGTATTTGTTTTTGGAGCTAGGCTGTAGCCAACCTGAGCTACTATTATTACTATCTGAGTTCGTTGAGTTTTCCCTAAGCCCAGGTCATTGTTTGCTTCTGCCTGCTACTGCGGGATCTTTTCCAATAGATAGAGTGAGATGATACAATGTTGTAGGTTATGAATATTTATTTCACCCTGGTCAGTCACTGAGGGATTTATGTCAGTGATGTGGAGAAGGGGATACATATTTGGAAAGTCCATCTAAAAGTGCCCTTCCCTCCTTGGCTTTGCCTGGAGAGGAGGTAGTGTTAGAAGATCCTTTGCCTCCCAGGTTTGCCGGCTGGGGAGGATATATTTCCACACAGAGGTCCAGTTCATGCTTCTCTTGTCGTTGGGAAAGGAAGCTGATGAAGAGTCCCATTTAGTCAATTGCCAGTCTTGGCTTAAAGGTCCACAACTCCAAATTGGTAGTCTTAGCTTAATGGTCCACAACTAGCCTGTGAGATGGGCTGAAGATAATTAAAGGTAGTTGTCCATCTGGCCTGCTTAGTGTTCACTAGCCTGTAGCAGAGACATAAGGTCCTGAGAGTCCACTGAGATGATACTACTGCTTTAGATTGCTGTCCTGTACTCCCTGCCCTCTATGCCCCAGATGTTTGAACCAATAAAATCTGCAAAAAAGAAGAGTGACCAAGTAAAAGTCTATCTGTTGGTTGTAGGGATGCACAGATACTTTTCGCGTACCAGTGCCGATACTTGGCATTTTCATGAGAACTACCAGGGTTGCAGCGGTTGCAGCCGGGACCTGGCTCTGGCGCTCCACCACTGTCCTGAAATCATTAGTCTGTATTGTTTTAGAAAAACTGTCACATGACAATAAACAAAAATGTATCAGTACTCGTACTTGTAAGTACTCGGCAAGTACCAGTACTCGTACTCGCAAAACTGGTATCGGTGCATCCCTTTATTTATATTTATAAAAACAAAATCATACATTAAAACAGAGATGTACAAACCCAAGGAGCTCCGTATGCTCCTTACAAATGACAGCTGCCTCCTAATTTTTGAATTTTTCTCTAGTCTAGTCTTGGAGCTTAGAAGTAT